TGATGCTGCTTGGCCTGCTGTGTTCATCCAGCCCTGCACCTTGTTGTCTCGGATTCTCCAGCATCTGCAGTTCCTACTATCTCTGCCAAGTAAACAATTTCACTCAGTTTTCTCACAGCACAGAAAAGCTTCCTAAGTAGCAGAGCAGAGCATTACGTTGTATGGATCATCAACGTCATCTCCATCAGCACTCTTGTTGTCAACAGCCATGTCATTCTCCAAATAATCATCATCTGTGCCATCAGATGCATTGGTTATTCCACATTTCTTGAATGTTTTGCTGACCATCTCTTCTGATTTCATCCCAGGCCTCTGCAACCCATACAAGATTGATAACATCAGAGCCTGTAAGCTGCCTCCCATAATCACTCTCTCCTCCTCTGATCATCCAGTTATTCCACTTTTTTCTTGTGCCATTTTTGAAGGGTTGGTCCTGAGAGACATCCAATGTTTGAACAAGGCTTGGTAGAGCACCCAGAACCACTGCAATATCACTGTTTTATGATCTAACTTCACTAACAACATCATTGACAAGATGTGATCTGAAGATGTTCCAGATGAGAAAACCCCTTTATGTAATACTTTTGCAGAAATTCCCACCTTTCCTCAGTTATATTCCAAGCACTGTCATTGTTCATTCTTTATCTTGAACTTGGACAATTACTCCTTTAAGGAATTGCTGTTTTGGGGGAATTTTCTCTTGAACATCGCCATTGGCTTAATCTTTGTCCCATCAGACAATTGGAACAGCACAACTGTGAATCAATTCTTTTCATGGCCAGTTGTCTTCTGAAAGACTGTTTCCTCTCCAGCTTTGCTCATCGTTTAACAGGTTGACATGTTAACATTTCTGGGAGAGTCTCACCAATGTTCCCAATGCATGACCATCTGTATTCAGTCTTTTGTTGATGTTTGATTAGAAGCTTCTGAACTGTGATAATCCTGTCAGCAAGTTCTGCCAGGAGACTCTGATATCTTGGTCTTTTATCACATTATAAAATTGTTTGTTTTCACAAGCCTGTTATTCCACCTGGGCTGGCTTGAAATTTGCAATGCCTTATTTGTTTGCTTGCTTCAGGATGAAGATTTGGATTAACACTGAAGAAACAGAGTCCATTGTGGTGAATTTCATTGGTATATTTTGTGACTTTATCTTCTAACTAATACTTGCTAAACTTCAGTGTGTGCTTTTATTCTTAGGCCTCTGCCTAAACTCTTGGAGAGAGTTTCAAATATCTCAAACATTCTACTCCAATATTCAATTTCTCTAGATGTTGCCAAATTACTTGTTTGCTCTGTAATCTCGAAAACGTGAACTGGGTTGTGCACCTGCTGTTCCTCGTTGATACCATGTAGGGCATTAGATGGCAGGAGTGGTAGGAATGCAACATGCAACAGTACGGTGGGACCCTTGATTTCATTGTTTATATGAGCAGGCATGAAGACCTTCAGTGGTGTGCTATTCTATGTATTAAGTACTTTTGCACTAGAGTGAGTTTGATGTCAGTAAGCACAATAAGTTGGTACTTTTTGGATAAAATCAGTATCGATCTGTACATAAGGTTTATAAGAGATTGACAGTTACTGAAGCATATACAGTAAGCCAAGGCAGGAATGGAGCATGAGAGTCTGTAGGAGTCATGAAATACCAGGTTTTTTTTTTAATGAACCAGTCTAAACAACAAAAAGCTAAGTGACATAGCTACTGATGTTTTGCTCACCTGCATGATGCAATCTTGGGCAAGAATTTGAATCAGTATTAAAAGCACCAGAATATCACTTTAAATGAGGCTGGATTCAGTCAGTAGTCAAACCTGAGTAATTATATGTCATTGGAAAGTTCCTGGATGCCTTTCCTGGTCCGTTATTGAGACAGTGTGTTTTTAACAACTTCGTTTCTTCAGCCAGTTTACACGGCATGCTGGAGAGATCAGTTGTACTTTTTGATAACAAAAAGGAAACAACCTTCAGACAGTCATCGTGCAGATCGTCCGGCTTTTGAATGGGGAGCTTGATAACTTGCTCTCATGTTCTGTTCTAAGATAAAAGACAGCTTCTGACATGCATTCCGACATCCTGCACTGATTTCCCTATTTTCGCAACTAATGGTGAGCAACTGATCAAAGTTGTCAGTAAGCAGTGTTGGTGCGAGAAGTCAAAGCTATTGCCTCAGGACTGACTACCTTCTATTCTCAAGACTGTCCTGCTTCAAGCAACTGGTTATTTGAATAATGGATGTGATATTAATATTAGTACCAAACCCAGTAATCGTGGCTATTCTTTCCCGTTGATTAATCTTTGTATGCATTGGGCTGGATTTTATCTTCCCATACAGACAGATTTGAAGGAGGAGGAGCATTTAATGTCCACCAGGTTGCTATTCCCCTGAAATCTGTCTTAAGATTTAACCAATGATTTGGGAGGCATTGGGCAGCGCACCGGCCCTTGGGTTAATTGACGATCGTAAGTATTTTTTATTCTTTCATGAGATATGTGGGTATCACTGGCAAGGTCATCATTTATCGTGCATCCTGAATTGCCCTTAAGAAGGTGATGGTGAGCTGCTTTCTTGAACTGCTGCATCTTGGACAGGAACACCCACACTCACTACAGCTGCAAAGTGAGCTTCCAGATTTTTATCCCATGGTGAAGGAACAGTGATATAGCCGGAGTATGGGTGGTGCTTGGCTTGGAGGGAGACTGCAGGTGGGGGTGTTCCCATTGACCTTTTGCCCTCTCTGTGAGCTTGGAGGTGCTGTCAAAGGAGACTTAGTGAGTTGCGTCTTGTAGATGCATACACTGTAGTGACTGTGCGTCAATGATGGAGGGAGTGAGTGTTTAAGTTGGTAAACAAGGTACCGACTAATTAGACTGCTCTGTTCTGGATGGTAAATAGAAACATTGTACTGGAGAAGCTCACCAGGTCCGGCAGCATCAGTGGAGACTGAAACAGAGTCAACGTTTCAGGTCTGGCTCTCTTTATTTCATAAACATTTTATTTAATTTATTTTGGATGATGTTGAACTTCTTGAGTGTTGTTGGAGCCAGGCCAGTGAAGGATAGATTTCATTGCACTTCTGATTTATGCCTTGTTGATGGTAGACAGACTTTGAGAAATCAGGAAGCGAATTACTCCCCTCAGCATTCATAGCCTCTGTCCTGTCCTTGGTAGCCACTGTTTATGTGGCTGATCAATGACAAACCCCCAGTATGTTTGATTGTGTGGGAATTCAGTGATGGCAATGCTATTGAATATAGTTAGATCCTCTCTTGTCGAATATGGTAACTGTCTGGCACTTGTGCGGCATGAGCGTGACGTATGAGCCATAGCCTGAGATTTTCCAGCTGCTGCTGCATATTTCCATGAGTTGATTCAATACCTGAGAAGTTGCGGATGGGCCGCGTGGCCTGGTATCAAGTAAGGAGTGGGAGTGGGTGGATACGTCATTGTTGGCCTTCTGGGCCTATTTGAGGCACATCTCTCACCCCAAATGCAACTCCCCCTCTCAATCCCTCACTGGAATTTGGTTTTCAAGCCCCAACAAGGCTTCCGCCCCTGGATTTACCTGGGCTTCTTGGCATGGTGGGACTGTCAGTATTTCCAGCAGCGTCCCCTCTTCCCAGTGGTGCTGCTGTGACTACAGAGCTTTCTCATTATGATTGAGAGGCCAGTAACATCATCCAACTTGACGAACAAGGTGCCAAAATCGCAAAATGTAAACCATTGATTCGAAAAATCACCGCCTGCACACCTCTGAAAGACAACATTTGCAGTTCTATTGACATTGTGGCACATTATATCCAGTATGCTGTTTGATCTAAACCCAAAGTCATCAGGGTTCTCAGGCAATATTTCAAAGCTCCATGTTCCCTGTGTTTTACCAGTTAAAATAACATTGGAATCCTAATTGTGCTAAAGACCCGGTTGACTATATCAAGAAGTCTTCTGCCTCTTGCTAGTGCGAGACTTTCAAGCCCTGATACTATGATTAGTAATGCTGATTGACGATCATCACTGTTTCTATCATTCTTCTTTTAAGGGTGGTTAGATGACACTCTTTGAGTTTGCATTGGAGCCAGGTGACTAAAGACAAATTAGAGTCAGCAAATGTCTTCAGGCTCAGACTTTGATGCTATTTATTGTATATTAATACCGAATACTGTTATACGTGGTAATTGTAGACATGCCAGGTTCTGGTCTTACAGTAACATTACAGAAAGACCAATCTAATTTCCTTGTGTGTCCCTGTCACCCTGCTCTCTGTGATTCTTCCAAAAAGTCTTGTGCTAGTGTGTCATCTAGAGAGTTGCTTCTAGTCTGTTTCAACTCCAACCACAATGTGCCATTTACGCACAATGTGGTCCAACTCTGTGACATCATTGAAAGGCTGCTCCAGAGTCCTGAAGCCCTGACACAATGATTTTATTCCCTCTTCTGGATTTTTCCTATTGTTAGGTATGGAATTAAAAACAAGGCCAGGAAGGTATTTTGTGTGTGTTCAATGGAATATGCATACTTTCTCTAAGGGACCAAAACTCTCCGAGCTAAATGAAGAGAGCTTAGTTGAATTCTGGCAATATGGGCAGAGGGACATGAGTATTTCTGGATTCCACTCTAGGTCCCAACAGTTAAGGCAGCTGATTGGTCAATCAGCAGTGCAAGTGAACAACCCAACCTGGGTTAATTTTACTTTTTGGATTACTTCAACATAAAAAAAATTAAACTGTAATACACCATAATTTTGAATAACATTCCAAATTTCTTACGTTTGTTTTCTTTTCTTCAGGATGGCTCGTATTTGGCAGAATTCCTCTTGCAAAAGGGCTATGAGGTGAGAGAATGCAGACTTAACCTTCTGGTTTTGACTGCTTTTATCCTGTTTCTTGTCTTGCTTTAACGTGGAAACATAGAAAATAGGAGCTCTGCCACTCAACATGATTACAGCTGATCCTGTATCTCAATGCCATACTTATGCTCTCTTCACATACCCCTCGATATCTTTAGCTTCCATTTGACAGTTCTAATTACCCTTCACATTCTAGTGAACAGTTCCAGTAAGCTTATGCACATATATGTGCACTCATGGCTACTTTTAACAATCCCAAAAGGGACCTTCAATCTCTGAAAGGCACCTTAAGGAGTACAGTTTATGTGCACAAGACTTCAGCAGAGTGAGACGAAGGCCAAATAGGAACACTGAATATGCTTTTGGAAATTTGGTTCAAAGTGGAAATACATTGCAAAGAGGGTAGGGGGAAGAGGTGCTTTAACTAAGGTTTATGACAAAAAAAACTCTGTAGTCAGAGTTGAGTGGGAGATGATTAAAGGTGTGGATTGAGAACTACTTGCAATGAGACCGGCGGAGTGACATCACAAACCATGGCATGATGTGAATGCAAGGAAAGAAGCTGATTGGTGAGTAGAATTGGTAAATATTTCTGTCTTTAAATGTAATGTTTTCAGTTTGTGTTGAGGTCTCTGGTGTTTTCTTCTCTCTCTTTAAAAAATGAAACTCGTTCGCTATTGAGTTGATACTGATGATTTGTTTTTTCTTTTTAGTTTACTTGAGAAGGGATGTACTGGCGCTGGAGGGGGTGCAGTGGATGTTCACTAGGTTGATTCCAGATTTGAGAGGGTTGGTTTATGAAGAGAGACTGAGTAGATTTGGATTATATTCTTTGGAATTTAGAAGAATGAGGGGGAAATCTTTTAGAAACATATAAAATTATGAAGGGAATAGATAAGATAGAAGCAAGGATGATGTTTCCACTGGCAGGTGAAACTAGAGCAAGAGGGCATAGCTTCAAAATTAGGGAGAGCAAATTTAGGACTGAATTTAGGAGGAACTTCTTCACCTAAAGGGTTGTGAATCTGTGGAATTCCCTGCCCATTGAAGTAGTTGAGGCTTCCTCATTGAATGTTTTTAAAGCTAAGATAGATAATGTTTTGAACAGTAAAGGAATTAAGGTTTATAGCGAGAGGGTAGGTAAGTGAAGCTGAGGCCACGAAAAGATCAGCCGTGATCTTGCTGAATGGCGGAGCGGGCTCGAAGAGCAGATGGCCTAATCCTGCTCCTGATTCTTATGTTCTTATGTTAAAAGATAGCATTACAGTTAAGTGTAAGAAGTGTTGAATCTCGAGTAATTAATTTATGAATTAAACCAATATAACAGTGATGGCAGGATGGGTGATGTGTTGCTGCTACAACTTGTGGAAGCTGCTGGATACCAATGTGATTCAGACGGAACACATCTGTAGCAAGTGTTTGTAGCTTGAGGAACTTTGGCTCTGAGTTGCAGACATTGCGCCCCTTCAGGGAAAGTGAAAGTTTTGTGGATTCTTGGCTCCACAAAGTGGTCAAACCCCTCTGACTAGGTATTTAAAATTGGTCTGTAATCAGGGACAGGAGGGTTTGACTTAAAGTGAGGCAAGTATGAGGACCCAGGGGTTACAATTGAGCAGTCTGGGCCCCTGAGCTTGTCTGTCAATTACTAGGTTCTTGTAAGCTGTGTGGACGAGCATGGGATCTGCAGGGAGGATGAGCAAACTGACCACAGCTACTTGGTACATGGAGACATTCAAGTGGGGGAGGATATAGATGGTGTAATGGCAGGGGAGCAGTATAATTAGGAGATAGATACAGTGCTCTGCAGCAGTGAGTGGGAGTCCAAAGACACTGTTGCCTGCCTGGTGCCCGGCTTAAAGAGATTTCCTCTGGGCTGGAAAAGAACTAGGAGAGGGAGAGGAGAGATCCAATAAATTGTTGTCTGTGTTAGTACCAATAACGTTGGTAGGTCAAGAAAGGAGGTTCTGCTGAAAACTTTTGAACAGTTAAGAGCTAAATTAGAAAAGTAGAACGATCTCTGGTTTTACTAACCGAGACACTGGGAAACTGGCATAGGATAAATAAAATCAAGGAGTTAAATGCATGGCTCAAAGATTGGCGTGGGCCACAGACACCAGCACTAAGATAGAACTGGGATTGATTCCACCCTTGGGCTACTGTCTGTGTGGAGTTTGTACATTCTCCCCTTGTCTGCATGGGTTTCCTCTGGGTGCACCGGTTTCATCCTATAGTCCAAAGAGGTGCAGATTAAGTGGATTGGCTGTGTTAAATTACCCATAGTGTCAAGGGATGTGCAGCCCAAGTGGATTAGCCATTGGAAATGCAGGGTTACAGGGATAGGATAAGGGAGGGTGGGTCTGAGTTGGCTGCTGTTCGGAGGGTCGATTGGCCAAATAGCCTGCTTTCACACTGTAGGGATTCTATGATTCTAAGAGAGCTGTTCCATGGGATGCGTTTCACTTGAGCCATGCTGGGTCTAGTGTCCTGGTGAAGTGAATAACTAGGGCTGTAAAGAGGACTTTAAACTAATTAAAGAGAGGGAGGGTTTGGGAGTGAGGAAGTGTAGGCCTCATAAAGCAGGAGAATATGATAGCATTACAGGACAGCTATTTGGATAACGATACCCAGAGTGGGGCTGGAAGGGACAGAGTATACAAACGAAGAAAAACAGCAATAAATAGAGACAAAGGGGGCAGAAGTGATAAAAAGAGGTAGCATTAATGACTCTTTACTTGAATGCACATAGTATACCGAATGAAATAAATGAATTAACAGCATGCGTACAGAATAAAAGATAAAATCTTAGGGCTATTATGGAAACAAGGAGATCAAAGTTAAGAATTAAATTTTCAATGGTATATGATTTTTCAAAAGGACAAGTAAGCAGGAAAGGGTGGCAAGGTAGCATTGTTGGTACGGGATGGAATAAGTACAATAGCAAGAAATTATCTTAGATTGGAAGACATACAATCCATATGGGTGGAGGAAAGAAATGAAAAGGGGAAGAAGACACTGATAGGAGAAGTCTATAGGTGGAGTCTATAGTCTATATAGTTTATGGCAGGATAGAGAATAAATCAGAAGATAATGAGGATATATAAAAAAGGGAAGTGCCATTAATTGTGAGTGACTTTAATCTTCTTGTAGATTGGGATAGTCAGATTGACAGAGGTAGCCATGAAGAAGAATTCATAGTGTATTTTGGAAAGTTTCCTAGAACAACATGTTGTTTGGATCGAACAAAGGATCAGGCTATTTTAAATCCGGTGATGTTTAATGAACTAGGTTTAGTAAATGATCCCAGAGTAAAAGACCCACTAGAAAACAGTGACCATAACAAGGTAGAATTTAGCATTAAGTTTAAGAAGGAGGAACTTGGGTCAAAACCAACAATACTGAGCTTAAATAATGGCAATTCTAAAGGAATGATGGCAGAGCTGGTTTGAGTGGACTAGGAAAGGAGTTTAGCAGCAAAGACAGTTGAGGAACAGTGGCAGATATCTTAAAAAACAAAAATAGTTCATGGCTCACTGCAAAGATATAAACAAGTGAGGAAGAAAGATTCTTCGAAGGGGTTAAACCAACCATGGTTAACCAGGGAAGTTAAGGATAGTGTCAAGTTGAAAGAAAAAACATACAATTTGGCAAAGGTTTATGATAAACCAGAGGTTTGGAAAGGTTTAAAAACCAACAAAAGACGACAAAAATAATAAAGAAGGAGAAGATAAACTTTGAAGATAAATTTGAAGTAATAGCAAGACAGAGAGCAAGAGCTTCTTTAAATATGTAGAAAGAAAGAGAGAAGCCAAGAGTGAACATAGGCACCTGAGAAAACAGGGATGGAGAACTAATAAGGGGGTACCAGGAAATGGCAGCAGTATTAAGTAAATAGTTTGCATCAGTCTTCACAGTGGAAGACAGTAACAGCATTCAAAAAATTAAGTAATCAAGGGTTAAAGAGAGGAGTCATAGAGTCATACAGCATGCAAACAAATCCTTTGGCCCAACTAGTCCATGGCGATCATGTTCCTAAACCAAAGTAGTCCTGCTTGCCTGCATTTGGCACATATCCCTCTAAATTTTTCCTATTCATGTATTTCTCTGAATGTCTTTTAAATGTTGTAACTGTACCTGCACTTACCTCTTCCTCTGGCAGTTCATTCCACATGTGAACCACTTTCTATGTAAAGAAAAGTTGTCCCTCATGTTCTTTTTTTTTGAGATTTTCTCCTGTCACCTTAAAATATGTCCCCTAAGTTTTGAACTCCCCTACCCTCGGGAAAAGTCCTTTGCTATTCATCCTTTCTATCCCTGTCATGATTTTATAAACCTCTATAAGGTCTCCCCTCAACTTCCTATGCTCTAGTGAAAAAAGTCCCAGCCTATCCAGTCTGCCTTTAAAACGCATACCTTCTATTCCCAGCATCGTCCTGGTAAATCTTTCCTGAACGCTCTCCAACTTAATAAATACCATAACTATCACTAGAGAAAAGTTGCTAGGGAAACTAATGAGGTTAAAAATCAATAAGTCCTCTGAATTGATGGGATGTATTCTAGGATATTAGAGGATGTAGCTACAGAGGTAGTGGATGCACTAGTAGTAATATTCCAAGAAACCTTAGATTCTCAAAGTCCTAGTGTATTAGAAAACTGCCAATGTAATACCTTTTTTATTTATAAAGGAAAAGATACAAAAAACAGATAACTATAGGCCAGTTAGTTTAATGTCTGTTTTTGAGAAAATGTTAGAATTTATAATCAAGGATGTAATAGCAGAGCATTTAGAAGAACATAATATGGTCAAACAGGTAATTATTGGGTGCCAAAATTTAAAGATTGTATCAGTCCTTTAAAGAAAGTACACAGGAGATTTACTTGAATGGAACTGGGATATAGGACTTAAGTAATGTGAAGAGACTGGAGCAACATAACGTTTTTCTTCTTGAAACAGGGAAGTTCGTTTATTTACAGTTCATGAAGAATTTTGATGATTTTTAAAGACAGGTTATTTCCAATGGCAGAAGAGTTGGTAGCCAAATAATTGAAATTTAAGTTAGTCAAAGAATCTGACATGGGATAACTTACTTTGTTTAAAAGAAATGTTTGTTGTGATCTAAAGTACTTTGTCTGATAGTGGAAACAAATTTTATATTAACATTTAAAAGAGAATAAAATAAGTATCTGAAGGGAACGTAATACTCATTGGGCTGAATGGCCTCTGTCTGTGCAGTATCTTTCCATAATTCAAGTTTGTGGAGTGATGAGCTTGTAACATGCAGCTTTGTGGAAAAGAACTTTAAACTATGAAAGTGCAGGTCTGAATTACGGAGAGGTAACGGCCTCATTGTGTTAGTCCTAGAGGTAAACCATTAATCCAGAGACCAATATTCTGGTGGAATTTGAATTCAATAAAACGTCTGAAATGAAGAGTCTAATGATGACCATGAGCCCATTGCCAATTATCAGGAAAAACCCATTTGGTTCATTGATGTATTTTATAGAAGGAAACTGCCATCCATACCTGGCCTACAGTGACTCCTGACCCACAGCAATGCGATCATCTCTTAACTGAGATTAGGGATGGGCAATAAATGCTGGCCTAGCCAGCAATACCCACATCCTTGAATCAAGTTAAAAAAAATGTACTAGTTGTGCTGATTTCACTAAACCTATGGCATTTGTTCTCCATTCAGTTAGTTAGGGTTATTTGCAGCTCAACCGAATCAAACCTACGACAAGTGCTCACCCGAACGAAAGACCCACTTCCCGCCATGGACAGGACCAATGTCATCTACAAGATCCCCTGCAGAAACTGCGACAAACACTACATCGGACAAACAGGAAGGAAACTAACAACGAGAGTACATGAACACCAACTGGCCACAAAAAGACACGACCAATACTCCCTCATCTCAATCCACATGGACAAGGAGAACCACCACTTCGACTGGGACAACACCAAAATCCTGGGACAGGCCAGGCAGAGCCAGGCACGAGAATTCCTAGAAGTCTGGCACTCCACGAAGCATGCTATTAATAAACACATTGAACTTGACCCCATATACATTCCACTACGAAGGAAACCCGGAAGTGAGGCAATCCATCTCAATGGACTCCAGAGTTTAAAAACCAGGCGGGAAAACACACCGACGCTTCATCGGAGGCCGCACTGAGGATGTTACCCAGCATGGTAATGAAACGTCTGTGAAACAAGAAACCAGCTTGGCGAGCCAACCAACCTCAACACCCACAACCCAAGCTACAAATCTACTCCAAAACTTTAGAGTCAACTGAATCACTTTATTTACTGGCCTTTGTTCAAATTTCCTTGATCCCCATGTCTGAAAAATAAAACCACCTGAGTCTTGAGAGTCCCATTTGTCTTAACAGTCAATGTTATCATATTTTCTGTATGGACTTTCAGAAAGCTTTTGACACCGTTGCACGTAAGAAAATGCAAGTGCATGAAACTGGAAGAAATCTTTTCTCTTAGGTAAGAAATTGGTTATGGAATAGGATACATAGAGTGCTGGTAAAGGGAGGTGGGGAGCCTGGGGGCATAAAGCAAGGTGTGGGGCCCGGGCCAAGGTGCCTAATATTCATGCACAGCAGTGAGCCTCAGGAAATTGAGGCGAGTCTTCTGACCTGCCAGCCTCTGTTTCTATCTCCTTGCTTTGGGAGGCTGTGGGCTTGAGTACAGCCTGGCCCTGCTAACCTCTGATGAAAAGAGTATGGGCAGGTGTCAGGCAGGAGACAGGAGCATGACATCCAATTCCCACCCCGTAGATGAACATCCAATCCTAAGTTAGAAGATGTAGTGAGTCATGTAGCTATATGCAGAACATTGCAGGAAAAATATGGGCAGCTAAAATGATTAGACAATGATTAGACAGATGCATCTCAGTATTGGAAAGCGTGGACCAAAGAGATTTGAGGAATGAAGGAACAGGAAGATCTAAGTACAGAAATCACTAAAAGCTAATGGATTATTTCAAAAATTAATTAAGAAAGCTGTTCCTTTTGTTTTGAAGTTGATGATGTTTTCTTCATCTCCCTTTTTGCATTTCTCTCAATTTACTGGATTGCCAACTTTCTTTGTATTTGTATGAGTCATTTACTTTAGCTTCCCACAATGTCTTATCTCAAATGGCTGTTTTACACTATGAGTAGAATGTTTGCTTTTGAGAGGTTTGTATTTGTCTAATATTGCATTAAAAACTTCTTTGAATAGTTCCCACTGTTATAGTGCAAACTTATCCGTTGAAACTCAGCTCAGTCTAAGGTTTTTATGACTCCTTGCTTCTAAATCAGTCTTATTTAAGTTTAACTTCTGGATTTGCATGTGATCCTTGTGTTTCTCAAATCTGGTGTGAAACAACGATGTTTGGCCACTGTTTGAAAGATCCTTCCGTACTGTTAAATTATGCAATATTTATTTTCTCACCTTGCATCTTGGCTCTAGTCTGTTTAAGGCACAACTCCTTCTGAACCTCATACTTGCACCAGTGTCCCATAAAATCAAGCTCCTCATTTTTACTCCACTTTCTTCATCTGCTTGCCCCATGCCAGCCTGAAGCTTGGGTAATAGCCCTGAGAATCATGCCTGTGGATGACCACAAGGAATATGTAGAGATTGATTTGGACAATACACATGTGAGATTGTGTCAAATTGGGCCAGACTTCTTTAGGCTAAGATATGTGAGGATGTAATCCTATCGGAAGTTGTGCACACTAGATACCACCAACAACAATAACAGCTTGCATTTAGAAACCACCCATAATGTTGTACAATATCCAAAGGTGCTGATAACAATCCTGTACAACTACATTTGACACATAAGAGAGATTAGGACTGGTGAGCAAAAGCTTTGTCAAAAGGATAGATGTTAGGGAACAACTTACAGGAGAGAAATATGCAGGCAGCAAAGTTTAGGGTGAGAATGCCAGAAAAAATAACTTATGATTTCTCAGTAGTTTGATTTGGAGACTGTTAAGCATGATTGGCATTCTGAAAGTGTCTAACATCTAGTTAAGCAAATAAGTTCTATAATGTCCCATGTAACAACACAACACATAATACCTGAATACTGAAAACTGCTTTTCATGAGGATGCAAGCACTTAGTTTTCATAACTGTTATTTTTCTTTTGCAAGATCAATGAGTTATTTTATGAACTGTTTGTTTTAACAGCACTCTGGTATTTATTGATCTAGTAGTTGTTGTTCTGGTCCTCCTGCACATTTTGTCTTTTGAACTCTTAAGTTATTTTATGTCTGCAAATTAGATTTAATGAATGAGGGCTAAACTTGCGTTTCTTTTTGTGTGATTCTTCTCAGGTGCATGGCATTATACGACGATCTAGTTCTTTCAACACTGGGCGTATAGAGCATTTGTACAAGAATCCTCGCACACACATAGAAGGGAGTAAGTTCACACTTGTACATTGCTTAACAATTTCATTTCACTATTAAACAGAATTAAGAACTTACTTCCTTTTACGTCTTCAACTGTCTGTATGGCCACCCTAAGGATAAGTTTTTTTTTTGTTAATTGATAAGGATCTAAATTGATGGTGGGATGCTTTCAAAGCACATTTTGATTTTCTTTTCGTATTTCTATCTGTGCACAGTTTTGACACCTTATTCCATCAACAGCTGTAAAAAAAAGTCATTTGATGCAATTGATTAGGGCTATTATAAAATTTAACACCTTTTTAGACAATTATGCTTATGTATAACCATGTACAAGTGCAGATACAGATACCTTTCAATGCTGTACAATTTTTCACTTAATTGGCAATAATTTCACATAATATTTTGTTGAGCTCTTTCATATTCTTGAATTTCAAGCCATAAAGCTTGTTCACTTAACTTACCCTGATGAATTCTTATTGAATGCTTTATTTTTCTTATAAAAACATTGAGAAATTATTATAGAGGAATTCTTGTGGCACTGGGAGTCTTGCCTGCTGGCTGGAGAGACTTCTGCTGCCTTTTCTGGGAGGATCTGCTGAACCACTGGCAGTGGTGAGGTCTTCCTCTGGAATCAAGTTCCTGGGTTGGGAGGATGCCCCTTAGAGAGGGGCTGGTCAATCTGAACCTGGCAGCTTTTCTTCTTAGCAGTGCCATTGGAGATGGCTGCTGCAGGCGAAATAGGTACTGGAGTCCTAAGATTATGAAACAACCCAGGCCATAGGTAAGTAATGTCGAGGGTAGCGTTTCCAGTTTGGGCTCATGGCACAGGCAAGGTAGGCGAGTTAGAGGTAAGGAACTTTCAGTTGCTTCCTCCTCTTCCAATATCCATTGCCTTGATCAGGCAATGTGCATTTGTTTTAGTGAACCTGATCCCCTCACCCCAGCTTACCTGGGGGTTGGGAGGTGGTGCTAAGCTTGCTTGATTTCAGCTGCCAAAGGCCTGCATGCAGCAAGAGTGGTGAGGTTTGCCTGGGGTCACTAATTGGCCACTTTATTGACAGTGGGTTGGGAAGGTTGACCATGGAACTGATGGAAAGTGGGAGGGTGGGTTCAGGTACGTTGCCATCCCACTTAAATATATACACCACCCAGTTTCAAACTTGCCATTAGTGACAGCAGAAGATTCCACCCTATATTAAGAATGTAGTTAAAAATTTGACATTGCAAAAAATTACGTTTTAATTTGATGATTCTTATCATCGCCAACATATTTACAATGAGCTGAGTGTTTCAAATTGTGGTGGCATCATGAGCTGCTATTGTACAGCCACTGTGCTGGTATCCAATGAAATTATCCAGTTGTGTGTGTGGTTCATCTTTGGGCAATAGACAACAGTTTAGGGCACTATACATTACTTGTATAGAAGAAAGTGAAAATATGGGCCTTTAGAACAATGGAAGGGTGAAAAGAGAAAAGATTGTAAATTATAAAGCAAAGTGGAGAAATTAATCAAACTCTGAACTTCGCTCTGGTACCGCCTTTTTGCCCTCCATCATTCTCAGTAAGATACCTGACCACTGACTGACTATTTACTGTTGTTAAGCTGAGGCATTAAGTTGTCTATGATCTTAATTTGCCTAGTTTCTCCATAAAAGTGCAAGTATGTGTTAATAAATTAAATGTTTGTTTCTCTATCCGTGATTCCTATTGGTCGGTAATGACTTCCAAGTTCCAAAGAATGCCTCCCTATCAACCTTGTATTTTGTTTACATGCTTTATCTTCATTTTTTAAAAAACTACACTAACATTAAAGAGACAATGTCACTGTCTTCACAACCACTAAACTGATTGGATATTTTGTGGCATTTGATCACCCTGTAGAAAATTAATGCACAGTTTTGCTTTTTTTATGATTTCGTTAACATGGAGTAATACAAAATCAAATGTCTTTTTCATAGCCTGACCAAATTTTAGTTTAACTTCAAGGACAACAGTTTGGAGAATGTTTGATGTCTTTTCTTGGTGATTTGATAAATTCTAGGCAATGCCAATACTAACTTGGGTTTCAATTTACAGATATGAGGCTGCACTATGGGGACCTCACTGATAGCACATGTCTGGTTAAGATCATTAATGAAGTGAAACCCACTGAAATCTATAACCTGGGTGCACAGAGCCATGTTAAAGTAAGTGATTTTGAGAAAAATATCTTCTTCATCTTTTTTTTCGTTTTCTAGGAAGTATAAATACATGATCTTGCATATAAAACTTCACATTAAGCGATCTGTGGTGTTTAGAAAATTAAGGAGCTCTTTGAGCAGATGCACAAGCAAAACTGGTATTGAAAATGCGACATAAAAGTAGAAAATCTTAGAAATACAGAGAGAGTATATTGTTCAGCTCAATGAACGTTTGTCAGAACTCTTGATGAGAAGTTAGTGAATCTGAAAAATTAAGGCAAAAAACTGTGGATGCTGGAAATATGAATCAAACACAACATTGAAGAAACTTAGCAGATCTGGAAGCATCCGTAGAGAGAAACATTTTGTGTCTGGTATAAATTCTTCAGAACCATACTCAAAACACTAACTCTATTTTTCTCTCTCCACAGATGCTGCTGGACCTGCTGAGTTTCTCCAGTAGTGTGTGTCTGAAACTGAAAAGTTCATTTTGTTTCTGTTTCCACAGATATTGCCTGATGTATTGAGTATTTCCAACATTTTTATATTTATGTCTAATTGTGTTGATGGACACGGGTAAAATTAGCTGTTGCATAAAACTGCAAAAGGAAGCATAGCACAATGTAAATACAGATGAAGGAGGAAGAACTTTTTTCCAATTTTTCTTCCTTTTTTTAAGGTGTTTAACCCTGTTTTTTAAATATATCCCGATGTTTTGGCATTATGTTTGACCTCAACTTTGTGGCCATTAATCTTTGTTCCTTCGTAGTTATAAAGTGAGATAGGGCCGTTTTGACCATGAGTAGATTTTTGCATAACTGGATCCCACCAAAACATCGACAGGCAACATCCAACACAACAGTACACATAAGTCCTATTGTCACTATGTGAAATTCGCTTTCATAAAACCACCATTTCGTAAAAATAATCGTTGCAAATTTTTTGTACACTTAATGTAATTAACGTGATTTGTGACTGTTTTGTAGCTAAGGAGTTACTGCAAAAGCTATATTTTGAAAAGAGAAGTGTTTAGATAAAGAAGTTTGTGATAGATGCTGTGCACGCAGAAGTATAATATGCAATAAGTATGTTTGATGTCCTTCACATCTGAACTTTATAATGGCAACATTCATATCTAATGCAAAAGGTGCATTGGTTTGTCTTCTGCAATTCTTTTTATTTTACTTTATCTTCCTTTGTGACTTGCTTGTCCTTAACAATGTAGATTATTGTTGAAGGATAATATATATAAAATGTTCATCCTATTTAGCGAAATCCTTTGAATTGGAGTTCTGATGCAAAATGACTACTTATTTCTTAATATTATGCTCTTGTCTTCATTGCCATTTTATATTTTGTGTCTGACATATGACCTGTATGTTTGACTTCAGAGAAAATGCCTGTTTCAACAAATGGAATGTTCATCTGCAATATTTGTACATGTATATATTTGCCTTGGCTGCTTTCTCCCAGAATCTACAATGCTCTATGAATCTCTTGCTTCCACTTAATTAAAAGTAGCCCATTCGGAAAGTAGGAAAGTGAAATAATAGGAAATTAGCCTGGCTTCCTATAGGAAACACATGAAGATAGAAGTGACCCTTACAATGTGATTACAGTACTGTAGTAGCATAATTTTCATAGAAATATAAACACATGTCATCGTGAAGTATAAAATTTACCTCTCAAATCTCTTTCTCCAAAAACCTATGACAGGAATACTCGGCATAATGTTAAGTTGAAGTTTCTTTTAATGTGTTACCATTTATTTTGTTCAAAGTGCTGAGATATAATTTACATTGTACATATTTTGTTAATCAAACAATAAAAGTAAGCCCTTTTAAGTATTACATTCCTTTAGAATGGAGCAGTAAGACACGGGTAGAACTAGCAATTGCTTAGAAGGGGAAATATCTGGCTGTGTCCATCATATCAGGAGGACAAGTGACAGACATAGACTAAATGCTCTTGCAGAAAAGTAACTGGTATGGTAAACCAAACATCTGGCAACCTTTGGATGGCTGACTATAGGTCTGTCTTGTGAAAGATCTAAAGCCAGGCTCCCTCTTACAATTATGGAAAAAAAGGAAAATTTTTAAAATTGTGGATAGAGTTAAAAAATGTTGTTTGTTAAATATGTATAAGATACAGTTAATTTTTTTTAAAATGCAGATTTAGTAATACTTAATTTATAAAATCAAGAAAGGTTCTTCATAAATTTAATCTACTGAACATTTCTCTATTGGTGTTCCATCCAAGTAACTAATACCAAAGCGTTATGTCATTCCTAACTGTTGATTGTCAATAACGTATGGGAGAAATCTGAGCCCATTTTCTTCTTACTTGCACACTGACCACCAGAATTTTATGCAGACAATACTTCAGACTCAAGTGTTTATTATTGTGCTTGTGGACAAAAGTGAATGCCACTGTTCTTTTTTCATCTAACTTCCTTCCCGCAGCTGCTTCTCTAGGGAATCAAAATTGTGCTATTTGCTGTGGGTTGGCATTTCTATTCAGCAACCAAGAATTTCTGCCTCTAGAGTGCAGCAGAATTTTGATAGGGCTAAGAGAGAAATCCAGGGAGAATATTAACAGTGAACTGGAGAAAGTGAAGGGCTGGGAGGATTAAATAAAACGTCTTAAAAGGGAAATTGGAGCAAAGCGGTAGTGTAGAATAAAGGGTGGAAGAACAACAGCATAAATTAGTCGAAGGAAGAATGTCAGGATAGTTGAAGAGTAATTAGGGGAAAGTCAATGCATGCATGAAGCAGAGAGATTAAGGAGTACCAGAGCAACTTATGAAGTAGTGGGCAAATAATACGTATAGTGTTAATTGAGTTGAAAGGGAAGAGAAAAGAACTTTCATTACAATAGAGATAGTTAACCCAAGGGAAGTACAAATACGTAATTTTGTTGCAAGATGTGACTGGAAACTCCTGTACACGTTTGATAAACAAATGATGGAATATTGATTATAACCTGTAAGATAAACCATTGGCCTATAGTATTGATAATGTAACTACATGTTATAGGCCCACATTCAGGGCTGTTCTTAATTGTGAAGCCATTATGCAGCTTTTTCATTTTCCTGCATTGGCATACATGCTCTTCGTTTTTCAATTTAAGTTTGATATTTCAAATTAAAAAGATGTTTTAATGCTTCCATTAATGCATGGCAATGCGCCTCCTCAATGGCCAGATATAATCTCTCTGGAACAGACTGTATGACTGTCTAGAAATTTAGCTAGTTTAGAAAGGAAGCTTACACAACAACTCCTTGCATAACACTCTTATTAATAAATATTATACAGAAGGGTTTAGTCTAACCTGCATACGTTGGAACCTCTTAAGAAAAATTAAACACAATTTACCCCTCTCCCTTTTTCTTAAATTTTATACTTGTCATTTTATTTGATCACTTTCCCATTGTTCATTTATCGTGATGTGATTAATCTCGACAATGCAAATCACAGATCAGCTCAGAAGTAATTTGACCATATTAATTTTGCTTCCAACCTAAGATGAAGAAACTGCTGCTTTTTTTCTGAGTTATTTGCTTAGGAAGCATTTCCTTCCTGCAGGTTTCCCCTGGCAGAGTCTTATATTGAATTAAATGAGTGGAAACAGGCTCTTCGTCCACCCTGACCACTAGCATAGGGCCTGCTGAGGGTCATGCTTGAAAATATTGAGAGAGCTAATGTTCATCAAAACCTCTGAGTTGAGGAGAACCAGTTATATTTGATTTTCCATGGGAGGGGATGGGTGGGGTGTTTCAAGGCAGGGAGGATTGAAGGAAGGTGCAGTGCTAGCAAAAATCACAAGGAATGAGGCTCTGACTTTGTCAGCCCTTTAACTGGCAGTCCAATTGGGATAATGTTCATAACAAAGCTACGGTGTGTGTTCTGTAGCTCCTTTGGAAGTTTTGTTTGTCTCACCACATTTCCCGCCACCAGCCCCTCCCCCCACAACCCCACCACTCTCAATCGCTCCTCCAATTTCCTCCTCTTCCTCCACAGTGATTGTCTTCTGTCATCCATTGTAGATGAAATAGAGGTTTGGAATGGTGAGTTTTGTCATTGCCATGATGCCCCAGTGGAGGAATGGTAAAGGAAACCTTGACCACTGTTCTGAAGCAGTAAAAATATTCCCCTGGTCCTGGCCTGTGCCACTTCAGACCAGTAAGCTTCGGGTTCATTTCAAAGACATGTGATGATTGGAAAAAGAAGTCTTACGAAATAGCAATTGCAGATATTCCTATGATGATTAGAAAGGATATGTTTTACCGGATCCTGAAAGACCAATGAGATACAGTATAAAAACGTGGAGATACAGTGATGAAATAAAGAGAGCTACCCTAAAGGATGTGCAGGAGCAGAGAGGCCTGGTTGTGTATGTGCATTAAATATTAAAAGTGGCAGGACAGGTAGAGGCAGCAGTTAATAAAGTATGACAGTATCCCAGGTTTTATTAGTAGGGGCATAGAATACAGGAACAAAGAAGATCTGCTGAACTTATATAGGATACTAGTTATACCTCCGCTAGAGTATTGTACACAGTTCTGGATGTCACACTTTTGGAAGGATGTGAATGCATTGAAGAAACTGCAGAATAAGTTTATGAGAATGATTCTAGTTCCTGCTGTGCTGTAACAATTTTGTGATTCGTGTCATTAGCCATTAGCTATCAGCTATAGCTTTATGATAACTTTCTCACCTATAATTAAAAAATCGTATTTTCAGACCTCACTTCAGAGACATAAGCATGTAATATAGGTTGTGACTATTGAGAAATATAATATTGAGGAAACACTGTGTGTTACCAGAGTTCTTTCTTTCAAATGAGATTTTAAATAGAGCGCCCATTTGCTGTCTTGAGGGAGGTATAAGATGCCATGGTCATATTCAAAGTTCAGCAGGAGAGTTCAAGTTTTCTTTTTTCAGTTTCCACTTACCCATAATCACAAACATGACATTTTCCATAGCCAGTGCAGTTAGATTGTATTA